AATGTAGAAACTAAAAGTGATGTGGGGTTTTTTTTTGCTTGTACAACAGAGGTAAACTGGGGGTCATCTGCACAGGCACTCTACTATATTAATGCCATTGACAGTGCGCTGGAATTAACTACGGTGGATGATCATGTAAAAAACTTTCGGTAAGTTCTCCAAGGAAGCAATTCAATGATTGTCAAATGTAAATGCATCATCAAATATAACGCATCTCCTTCCATCATTGCAGGCCTCAGTGCATAGTTTTAACAGGAGGACCTATGACGAGACCCGCTTTGTTAGACATTGCTCATTCATTCACAAAGAACAACGGTCTTTGCATCTGCTGTGAAGTCTACATGGTAAGTTCTGTCAATACCTACCAATATTTGCTTCACAAAAATGGCTATCTTGTTAAAGCTACTGGAAACTGCAGGTTTTCCACACAGAAAGCTTGGTCATAGACAGGTCTTCGCTATACGAATTGCATCAATTTTGTTAGTTAACCCTACAGAAAAATAGATAGCATTTGCTTTGAAGGAGCAAGCACTAAGTGTTTATTAGATGTTTATCCCATCTTTCATTTAGGAACTCAAGGTGACGTCCATAGCCTTGCTTCCTCCTATTTTCCCTACAATGACAACCTTGTGGGGTAGGTTGGACTGAGAGAGGGTGAGGGCAAAAAAGCTTTCAAAGCTGAGGATGGATTAGAACCTAGGGCTCCTAGTCCACCACTTTAATCCCTAATCAGACAGCTGTTCCCCCCAAAAAGACTCAAATTGCAATATTAGATTCTTTCATATATAAACTTTTTTACAAGTGCCTGTTCCAAATAATAAAAACAGCACAATCCAAGGAAGATTTCTTTGCCCCGTTAATTTATAATGCTAAGTTTTACTCCATATCCCAGTAGGTATTTTATTCACGTCTACAAAAACTTCAGACAGAAGGGTTTCCATTTATTTTACTTACTTGTCTCTAGATTTATATCTCTGCAAATATTTTATATAAGCATGTTGTGTCGGTATAGGTACTTTTATTTCTTTCTCTAGAAACTTTAGCCACATTTAGTTTTATTGACTAATAAAAATTGACATAATGAACTATTGTGAGCTGTTTCACCGGGAAAATAAGAGAATGATAAAATAGGAGCATGCTATCAATATGACTCCCATTAAGATTCTAAATACTTCTTACTTATATCTCCTAGTCCTTTGTTTCATTTATATTCAGTTGATGCACGAATCTAAAATATGGTAGCGATTGGGAAAAACTATGGTTAAGTACCTGTTTTTTAAAATTCCTGTAGAGAGTGTTGTTTATTCTGTGCCTTGGAAAAAAAGCAGTCAAACTATATGGTGCATACAATATACAAATATCAAAACTGCAGTTTTTCAGCTTGGGTGAAAATTTAAGACCAGTACTAGCAGCCAAAAACTTAGCATTAGGATCCTCTGCAGAAGGGTCCAATGGCTTCAATTGATGCTTTTTTCCAAGACGTCCAACTTTTCTTAGACACTCCCCCAAAAGCAAAGGCATGCTGATACGAAGCTTTAGCTATCCGGTCCTGAATAAGCCCATTATTTTCAGGAGATCTTAGTCCTTTTAAGACAGAAATGCAGGTTTCATCAAAAGGGACTACAAGAAACCTTTGCATAATTGGTTCAAATTCATCTTTTACATAGCGAGACTAGAAAGCGTTGCCTTTATACGGTCAACAGACGTGTCAACTGCCAAGGGTCAAAACCGGAATTCATAGGTATATGTTTGTTTATATAAAATAGATCCTCCTTGCTTCTAGGGTGGGCAAAACATTTAGGGCAGCTAACGATAATAAACTCCTCCAAGAAGTTACGAAGCTAATCTAATTTGAAACAAAACAATTACAAAGCAGAAAGCAAGAAAAAAGATTAGAGAGCACATGACATCAGGTGACATTTGTGCCGCCGATGCAAAACATAGGGAGGTTTTAGGCGGTTATCACTGAAGAGAATAGCCAACGGTCTTCTCCAGAAAAAAAAAAAACTCCACAATTTAGATGTAATTCCTGAGAAAGTGCTTTTTTGGGTCCCCACCTTTATGCAGAACGCCATGCCCAAATCCCCACCCTGAGGCGGCTCCAGCCTACAGACCCTCTGCACATCTGGATTTTAAACACGATTGTGAATACTTGGAGCCCAATTACAATTGGCTCGCTCTGTTAATATTTCACAATTTAACCGTTAATTAAAACTCCTCCAAAGCTGAATTTTCAAAACGGTCTCTGCTACTTATCACAATACCTAAGTGGCTTTAACTTCTCCTTCCCGAACGGAAAGCCTCTTTGCAGAAGATGGAATGGGAATCTCTTTTTCCTCGACACACGTTCCAGTCCCTCGCCGAGTCAATTCAGTCACTCCCTCAAAATCATGCTATTGTACGGGGCACAATACGGAGCTTCTCTCTAATGTCTGATCGTGTCACACAGGGCCCACGCAAGCTGTGCGTTACAGAGATGAACAGTGGCATGGCAACAAAGCAGGCCTGGCTGGCAAAGAATAAAAGGAAAGCATTTTATGCTGCGGTAGCAGCAGACAGCTTTAGAGATGGAGTCAGAAGTCTTCTCCAGGTAAGCTGCTTGAAGGTTTGCTTGAAAGCAGCCTCCGGTACCGAAGAATTGTGGCTGGTTCGTTACGGTTTACATTCGGAAGGGGTCATGGAAAGGCAGAGGATATCCTGGGGGCACTGATGTTTGTATTATAGGTTACTTGGGGAATAGTTCTGCTTTGAGGCAACGGAATTATGGGGGGGGGGGGGGGGG